AGAATCTATCACAATTATTGACCACATCAAACTAAATTATTTACCTGTATCACAGCGAATCACTTACCGGTAACTGGAGCCACAAACACTCAAACAAAGAAATGTTTTTTAAAGGTGTACTAGTCCGGCACAGACTTCATGGAGTTTTCAACTTACACGCCAGGACTTTCCAGACCTATTTTGAAGCCGAAACTGGAAATTGAACGCTTCATAGGAGTAACGAATGGATGTGAGTGGGAGGATGGGTTTCCAAAGTTGAATAATTGTCATACGTTAAGTACAGAGATGGTTTATTTTTAACGTCATACGTTTGATACAAAGATGGTTTATTTTTAACGTCATACGTTTGATACAAAGATGTTTTATTTTGAACCTACCTGTTCATAGAATATGAACTGTTGATTATCACTGAGGCAAGAAAAGTCCACAGCGGGAGCTATGAACGGGAAAAACAGAAATGTACATATCCTAAAATAGAACAGGTTTATGTAAACGGTAAGAAAATAAAAAAGGGAAAATCCGAAGAGTAGGTCTATCGTAATCGTCATTTGAATGAGCCAATGCGGAAAGCAGCGATGGTTGACATCGAAACTGTATTCCTATTGGTAACCAATAAGCTCATTTTGGGTACCGGCAACTTAGTATTTTTAAAACCAAATACGAATATTTTTATCAAATCAGTAAAACAATTAGAAAAGCTACTTCCGCTGCGATAGCAATGATAGATTAGAAGATGAAGACTAGCTTCACGACAAATATAGTCTAAGTAATATTGTGATTTTTTTTTTTTTTTTTTTTTTTTTTTTTTTTTTTTTAATTAATGGAAATAAAGTTCATAACAACATGTTTTTTTTTGTTGCTGTTTTATAAGTTAAAAATGGGAATAACTTTCACAACAATTAATTTAGTTCAAAAATGTATATCTCTCCCTGGCTAACGAGATTTCAAATTTCAAGTGAGAGAGAACGAGACTTACAAGCCTTATTGCCTAAAGTGTTGTTGTTTTTCTTCGGCCAAAGCAATCATGGAGAAAGACAATAGAATGAACATCAAGGGCTGTTGGGCTTAGGTGGACTCAGATCAAGAGAGCTGTCCAAAACTCCGGTGTAGAGCAGTGTTTCTTCCAGACATTTTTCTCGGGGGGAGGGGGGCACTTGTAATTTTCGGGAGGGGGGGGGGGCGAACTAAAATTTCCGGTTAGGCGGACACTGTTAAAAGTATATATTCTCTATATAAATTCCATTTCGTTCGAAGAGAGGGGAGGGGGAGCGGTAGATTCACTTCGGGGGGGGGGGGGCGGATGCCTGGAAGAAAAACAGGTGTAGAGATGTAGCTGCATGCCTTAGATCCGCGGGGGCTGTACATGAGTGAGTCAACCTGTTTTTTTTTTTCACTTCACGATTGAAAAATATTGTCGAGTGGAACCGAGGGGGCGGGGCGGGGAGGGGGGGGTAGGGGGTCGGGGGAGGGGGGGGGGGGTAGGTTCAGCTGGTGGAGCACTCGTGACACTGCTTGTATAGCAGACCGGTTCGTAGAGTGTCTAACTTAAGTTTTCCGAATACAAAAGCAGCCTAAGTATGGTGTTATGAATGGAAAACCCGATTACACCGAATGTGAATGGAATAGGGTAGAGGGCGGGTCTTGTATTTTTTAAAAATGTAAATGTCCATGTCTGACAACTATAAAAATCATGACTCGGCTATTTTTTTGGGGTTTTCTTTTTATCTTTGGTGTTATTATCAGAGTTTCTTCCAGGCATTTCTACGTGCCCCCCCCCCCCCCCCCCAAGAAAAGAAAATTTATATAGAAAATATATACTTTTACCAGTCCGCCACCCCCCACCGTTCAAATTTTAGATTAAATTATAGTGCACATGAATAGTTTGCTTAGCTAGATCTAAAAGGCAGAAAGGGATTGAAACCTCGAAAGACCGTTTAAATATTGTGACGAATCGTGAGCGGGCTTGTTATAATTGATGGATCGTAAAAACTTTGATCATGTGCTCTTGTGTTACCTTTTCACAAATCGAATGTGTGTGTGTTTTTTTTTTGTTGTTATTAATATTTTTGGTAACTATGTTTTATAATGTATCCAGTACACTTTATGAATGAAATTCTTACAAGAGGAATAGGGAGTCACTCAGGCGCCCGGGCGAAAAATCAATTCAGCGCTCCCGCCCCCTAATATATTGTTATTGAAAATGGCGAAGAAGCGACGCCCTCCCCTTCCAAAAGTTTGTTGACACTTTTACCTGTCTCTGTCTTACAGTTCTTATTTTGGTGTCACCCTATTGATGTAAAGAACAGTTGATTAAGTTCGTAAAACGAAGTAGTAGTTTTTTTTTTTTTAGCCTAAGTACGATTAATTTATAAAAAGTAGAAATGTATCAAGTAACATGTTTCCGCTATGTTACAACAATGAATCCGTGTGAGCTAGGGTGTGCTTCTACAGCTATCGTTATGGTAAGCCATAAGGCAATGGGACGACGTGGTCTAGAGATAGAGCGCTAGCCTGCTAACCCTAAAATCGAATCCCGGTTCCAGTCAGTAGAACGTCCCTGAGTCCACCCAGCTCTGGTGGGTACCTAACCAACGTTAGGAAAGTAAAGGCGTCTGGGCATAGTGCTGACCACACTTTCGCTTCATATTATGCCGAGGTCACAGAAACTACTTCCCCTGCCCAATGGAAGTTACCCCTGGGTCCCCTTCAATACGCTTCTGAGTTTGGAGCAAAAAAAAGGCATAGTAGATTTCAATAGAAGAAGTTATGCGTTTGTCAGAGTTTGCACCTGTTTTCGTTGCATCTGTTTGTGGAGCTGAACGGCGGAGGTGCCAGAAGCGTCTAAACTTTTCCATGATATAATATGGACCATTCAAGGGTGGATCAAGCTTGAGCGGGGCCTCTGGCTGAAATTAAACTTTTTGGGGGCCTATATATATATATGTTTGTGTGCGCCACTGTGTGCGCGCGTGTTAGTTTTAAGGGTTATGTCATTATTTGTCAAACGTCCATGCCGGGTATATGCTACTTAATAAACACGGTCTACAGTTATTACACAGGCCAGTGTATGGCCTTGCCGTGACGGCTACTTGTAAACAGAAAAAGGAACTTTAAATAGACTACATTAAATGTTTTAAGTTAATTAAAGAAAAATGTGAACTTTCTAAGATATACAAATTAAGCACATAATACAGCTAATGGTATACAATTTAAATTTTATACTAACATTTATTATACTATTAAAAAATATAGGAATAGACTAGCTACTGTGTATCAAAATTTATTTCTTTAAATCATTATTGTGAAAATTTGAAAAATACTTTTATTACTGTTGAATTTTCTTTATATTTTAACAATATTTAGAAATATAGTTATAACTTATTTCCCTTGGCCATTCTGAATTCATAAAGGGGAAGTAGCTACAACAAATTAATGTTAAAACAAATTGTTTTAGAGTAAAAAGAACGAAAAAAAATATACTGACTACTTCTATTTACAATAAAACAAATTGCATCAACATGTACGTTTCCAAAAAGTCTGTAATAAAATTAAAATGTTTAATAATGACAATTTTGAAATATCAACGCGAAACAAAATATATACATTCTTCTATAAACACGTTTTTTGTTAGGTGGGGGGAGGGGGCATTGGTATGTGATTACGTGTATTTTAATCCACAAAAAAAAAAAAATAAACGAATGAAGTGTATTAGCCATAAATAAAACATAAACAAGGGGCAAGTATCCCGCTTAGTTCGTCAAAAAATTATCGTTTGTTTCCCTTTGTGTTAAATAGCATCTAGATTTGTTATTAACTAAACCGGAGTCTGGAAAAATATTTTTCTTTATAAATCTAGGATCAGTATTCATAATACAGTGGTTCCCAACCTTTTTCGAGTGGCGACCCCCTTTCATAAAACACAAGTGACCCGCGACCCCCATATAATTTACAAGTCAAAATTAGTAAAGAAAATAATAAGCACTAAATTAATATTTTCTAGTAGACTTTCAATATGAATTATTCTTGCTAACTGTTTTAATATGTTGAGCAAAATTACATGCTATTAACAAGCATTAACAATTAAATTTTGCAAATTTAAGAATTCATCTTGTTATTTATCGGCAATGCTGGTAACATCAAGGAAAGCAGAGAATGGGTGACAATGCAGATTCTTCTTCTTTCAGCTCGGGGAAAATAACCCTGCAGTTCGTTGTCAAGAGATTCAAGATGCACAGAATCCTTTAAAATGTTTATCTATCACACCACGCTGCAGAGTTTCTCAAACATGGCAGTATTTCAAATATTTATTTTTCCTCGCCAATTTTGCAGCTTTGATAAAAATGCCAAGAGATTAGCATGAAAAGAGATAATATTCGTTCCTTTACCAGGTTAAGCTTATGACAGGGTTCCCGCGGCCTCCTGAAATTCCAGGATGTCCTGGAATTCTCCTGGAATTTGAAAAAAAACCCAAAAGTCCTGGAATTCTCCTGGAAATTCAAAATTTCAGAAAATTTCTCCTGAAATTTTGAAAAATCTCCTGGAATTTTCGCGCGTAACAAATTTTTCGTGAATTTGCGTGCATTTTCGGTATTTTGTTTACGCCGCCGCTTAGAGTTTCCGTTTCCGTTTTTTTAATTCTGCGCACATCGGATGTTGGTTTAAAACTAGATTTAGCCTTGGTCTATATATACTATATAAGGGTCCGTCTGGCGGGATCTTCGATTATTCAAGTGTCAGCTCTTGAGTTTGATTCTTCGGATGTTCATTCATAGATCTATTTCATTTTTACTGCGTCACTGTGAGAAATTTCTCGATTTCAGTTGTGAACTATTGTGTTTTCATTTCAATTTAACATTTCATTATGCCGAAATATACCACTTCGTTCAAACCTGCATGGTTAGAGAACGATTTGTATAAATCATTTAAAATCATGGCTACAACAAACCTCAGCAACAAAGGCATATTGTCGGTTATGTGCCAAATCGATAGACGTTTGTAATATGGGAGAGGCAGCAATCAAATCGCATATGAAATCAAGCAAGCATGTACAGCTTGATAATAAGTCTTCTGATTGCATGACTGTTGCCTCTCTGTTCAAGAAAGCTGTTGTGCCTACTGTAACCCCTTCACCATCGGCAGCCGCAGCATCCCAGCTTGAAGTTACAGCTGTAGCTGAAAAGTCATCATTACCCTGTCCTGGTCCATCAACTTCGAAGTTGCCACAGGCTCAAACCACAATGAAAACTCATGTCACCAGTGAGCAAACATTGTCTGCTGAGATTTTATGGGCCTTAAAAGCAGTATGTTCGCATTATTCATTTAACAGCTGTGCAGACATTTCTAGCCATTTTTATCGAATGTTTCCGGATAGTGAAATTGCTAAGAAGCTTTCCTGTGGGCCGGATAAAATGGCATACATGGTGTCTTTTGGACTTGGGCCATATTTTCATGAGTTGCTGAAGGCCAAACTTAAAAGTTTAGATGATGGTTTCATCCTTTTGTTTGACGAGGCCCTCAATCGGGAGCTCAGCAAGAAACAGATGGACATACACGTTAGACATTGGGATGATGACAAGGTAAATAACTATTTTTAATTATTTTTTTTATATCAATAGTTATACATAACATTGCAATGCAATTTAAAAATATAGATCTAATTTTAAAAATTGCATAACAAAATAGTGTATTTAACATTTTAGGTCATTACAAGGTATTATGGGTCTGCCTTCCTGGGACATGCAACAGCTCAAGATATGTTTCAAAAAATAACAAGTCTTTTTGACTTTGACCAGAGCAAAGTTGTTCAAATCTCCATGGTTGGACCCAATGTCAACTGGGCTTTACTGAAACTGCTCTCGGCTGAGTTAAAACATGTTTCTGCAAGAGGTTTTATCGACATTGGTAGTTGTGGTCTGCACACCATACACAATGCCTTTCGTTCTGGGCTTGTGGCATCTAAATGGGAGTTAAGTCACTTCTTCTCCTCTCTCTCATGGTTGTTTAAAGATACTCCAGCACGCCGTGAAGACTACACGAGACTCACTGGTAGCAGCGATTTCCCCCTGGATCATTGCCCACATCGCTGGGTGGAGAATGTTATGGTAGCAGAGAGGGCATTAAAAGTTTGGCCACACGTCAAGCAATTTATAAAATCCCTTTTGGCAGAAAAAAAAAGCACCAAACACCAAGTCTTTTGAATTTTTGCAGAATTGTTTGAATGACCATTTTTTAACTGCAAGGATTGAGTGTTTTGTTTCAATTGCCAAGACTTTGCAGCCATTCCTTAAAAAATTTCAAAGCGATGCCCCCATGCTGCCATTCATGGCACATGAGCTTTTTAACCTTTTGCGATCCCTGCTTCAGAGGTTTGTTGCACCAGAAGTTTTCAAGAAAGAATGCTCATCAGTTGCAACACTGCTGTGTTTAGACATGTCAACAACAAAAAATCTTTTACCACCGTCTGATGTTGACATTGGTTTCAAATCCAAAGCTGCAGTCAAAGAAATTAAAACTAAAGTGAGCCAAAGGGATATTTTCCAATTCCAGATGGAAAGCAGGGATTTTTTAAAAGCAGTTGTGACAAAGATTATAGACAAAACACCCATTAAGAACAAGATTGTTCAGAATTTGGATTGGCTGCAACCCAAATGTATTGTTAATGATTGTCAAGCTTGTGTCAAGCAGTTAGAAAATGTAATGTCCTGCTTGGTTTCAATTGGTAGGATCAACCCAGACCACTGCGACAATATTAAGATGCAGTTCCTGCAGTGGCAGTGCAGCATTAGTGCTTCCTATTCTAGCATATTTTCCTCCTTTTGCTGCAGCACCGATCGCCTTGACACCTTTTTTTTCCCAATATATGGGACACAACGAAGATTATTCTTTGCTCTGGTCATTAGCATGCACACTACTGATGCTGTCACATGGCCAGGCCACAGTGGAGCGAGGCTTCAGCGTGAATAAGGAAGTCATGCTGGTGAACATGCATGAAAAAACTGTGGTGGCCAAGAGACTGATTTGTGACCATGTTGCCAGTGTAGGGGGATTGTCAAATGTCAGCATCAGTAGTGGGCTGCTCATTGCAGCTGCAGGTGCCAGGACGAAATATCGTTTGTTTTTGGAAGAAAAGGCAGAGCTGGAGAAACAGAAGTCTAATAAACAAAAGAGGGATGACAGCCAACAGGAGCTGGATGGGTTGAAGACGAAAAAAGCCAGGTTGGAGAAAGACATTAGCAGCCTGACTGAATCTGCTGATAAATTGGCTGAAAAGGCTGAAAATACAAACAGCCACAAGTTTCTTATTGAGTCTAACGCCATGCGTCGGGCTGCCAAAAGCAAGAATGAGCAACTGGCAGCTATTACTTTAGAAATACAATCTAAAGTGATAGAAATTGGCAGCTTGTAATGTGCAAACATTCAGTCTGTATATATGTAAATAACTCTATAAATAAATGTATATAAATCAGTGCATAAAAGCTCTCAAGTATTTCCTGTCTTAATTTGGTGAGTACGCTGAATATTTTTAGTTTGTAATAAATTATTATTATTTTATAAAAAAAAATTTACATAGTTTTATACATTATTATATGTCCTGGAATTTTTTGATTCCTCCTGGAAAACTCCTGGAATTCTCCTGGAATTTGAAATTGACTTTGGTGTAGGAACCCTGTTATGATGATGTTCGAATATATCTGCTAGGTATGATACTCTCTCCAACCACAGCATGTCGCTAAAGTATATCAAAAGGTCTTGTTTCCTTGCACTTCCAAGAACATCTTGATTTCATCTTTCAATTCAAAAACACGATTGACATTTCCTATTGACAGCCAGCGTACTGAAACATGACGCACCATAAGTACAAGCCCCACATCCGCTTTCCCATTTTAATCCTCCAGTTTAAAAAAACGTATTTATTTTCTCCATGATATCTTCACAAAACACTTATTTGCTAACATCTGAATGAATATATTTCACAAAGACAAGCAACTGCAAACACGAACTCACGTCTGTCGATTCGTCAACTTGAAAATCAAGCAATGGTGAAAGTTTGATTTCATTCTAAATTTGTCTTTTAACATAAGCCGCTGCATAGTATTATTAGAGAGAGATATTTGTTGCATCTATACTGCACTGGAATCCCCAAGAATTAATTTTACCATCTTCAGCATACATGGTTTGATGAGATTTTCTCCTTTGTGTGAGAGGTTTTTTGCTTGGCAATTTCTAATACTACTTCATATGATGCTTGAACTAATGCTGTGATTTCTTGGTGAAAACGTTCTGTTCGATCAAGTCTCGGACGTTTGCAACAAACTTCATGCCGACGAAAGAACTACACTTCTTTTTTTGGTGTGTTCCGAACGACTCGTCTCAAATTGACGTTTGGAAGTTTTCATAGACTCCTGACTAAGAACAACTTTGCACAGTACAAATTGTTTATTCTCTATTCCGTTTCCAGTGATGTTAGTAATGCCGAATTTTTTTCTAAATATTTGTTTTTTATTCATTGCTAGAGTTTAGTCAACCAGTTGGCGACCCCCCAGAAAGCCCTTCGCGACCCCCAAGGGGGTCGCGACCCCCAGGTTGGGAACCCATGTCATAATATATATATATATATATATATATATATATATATATATATATATATATATCTATAATATAAGCGGGCTGAGCGTGTCCTTCCTTCCTTCCTTCCGTCCGTCATCGCTATAGATTTTGGGACTATAAAAGTAAACAATGCACCATGCTGTGCTTTTCAGTGCACCGCAGTGCTTATTATAACTTTAGAGTAGGGTTTGTTTATATAGCGGCATAGAGCTATTTTATAATTTCCACTGTTTGTACAATTTTGCATAACGTAAAGAGAATATTAAATACACGCACACTGCTAAAACATATTAAAAGGATCAATGTCAAATATTATTTTCTTATTTATGCCTTGAAAAGATGTAAACATTTTAATAACGTAATAACAGTCGGGTAGAAAAATCAAATTAATTTAACTCTTTTTTCTAATTTTGACAAGGGAGGTAATTTAAAAATAAATTAAACTCACGCTAATAAAAAAAAATGTGAATGCAAATATACGTTCGTCATAGAAGGAATTAGTGTTGCAATAATATAATTAGCAAAATGTGAATGCAAATTATGGGGATGTGTAAGAGGAAATTATTGTTAGAAAATTATAATTAGCATGGATTGATAAAAGGCAATCTTTTATTTATTTTATTCACTGAATGTAGGCCCTTCTGTTTATTACTTATAATTTTTAATCAACTATTCAGCACTATTATAGACGCGTCATCACGTTCATTAGGTGCGCAATGGTTTTAGTTATGAAATTCTATTGTAAATTTTTAAAATTTAAAGTACTGGAAAAAAAATGCGTGAATGGATAAAGTGTAATATTGTAGGTAAAACACGGATATTTTAAATACTGCCTATTATTTATACTGTTTACTAATTATTATTCTATCTTTCGGTTTGAGGACAAGCTAGGGGTTTTATAGGAGAGGCGTAGCGAGGGGAGGGCATATGTCCCCGGGTGCCGACCTTAGGGGGCGCCAAAGTGGGTTGGAAAAAATTTGCGAGGGGGGGGTGGAAATCGAAAGTTTTAGGGCAGGGGGGGGGGGGAAGGGGTGCAAATCAAAAGTTTGAGGGGGGTGCAAAACACCGGAAAGGGCGCGATTTGGCGCTACGGGCTAGACTGTGAGCAATATGCCTGTATGATTGCATTTAAATTGTGTTTATGTTATGAGTGTTGTGTTTGTTTTTTCGTTGTTTTTTTTTTTTTTTTTTTTGCGTTCGTTTGTGTTGTGTTTAGTTTTGTTCTGTTCCCAAGTTCGTACATTTAAAAAAGATTTACCGTGGCGGAGCACGGGATGCAGCTAGTATATATATATATATATATATATATATATATATATATATATATATATATATATATATATATATAAGATGATATGTAGAGGACGGAAAGTGAGTTGTGACTCATGGTGACATCGACTGGATTGGCTTCAAGCTACTTCAACGTCGCAAAGTGCAACCTTACATGAGGCGGCGTGGTCGAGTCGGTATAGCTCATGGTTGCTAAACTGATGGCTCGAGTTCGAACCCTCAAGCAGATGAGGTTCGATGACTGGGGACAGCAACTCTTCCAGGAGAGACAACTCCAAAATCAAACGACGTTTGCCTTGTAGTTTCTTCTTGGTTGGATAAACAAAGGTTATGGAAGCAAATCCTAAAAGAAAAGTTGGCACGAAAATATACACTAAAATTAAGATCGAAGAAGAAGAAGCAACATTACAAACAGTGTAGCATAATTAGCACATAAGAAATAACTCATTGGCTTGTTCTGGTTTTCTTGTTTTTTTCCCTTCAGACATTTAATTTATAGCGTCAGTTTGGTAAATGAAATAGCTCATTTCTTCACATTCTCAAATTGGAAGATGACGCTATTAGTGTTGTGTACTTTCCTTTGTTTAAACATGTGAAATGTGACGTCATTGTTTTTATACGTTCTTGTTAATACCATAAACACTTTTCCAGTTGCATAATTAAAAATGTGTTTACGAATTTGAATAGGACTTAATTTTATTTTTCTTATTTAAATTAAATTTAGTTGAAAATACTGATATCATAGCCTCTGAAAATATTTTGCGGACGGAGAGAAAAGTGCGCACATGGGCTTTTAAATATTAGGATTTTAAAAAGTTCAAGTAATTAAAAATGGATTACAATCATGTCTATATCCCGTGTTGCCATACCCTTTGCGTTACGTTCAAATTTTCGAGAAAGGTTTAGGGGAGATCAACCCCGCTTTATTTATTCTTTGTTTCCCTCCTTTTCTCTTTTCTTTCCTTTTCGGTGGGGTGGGTTGATGGGATTTGGGCTTGGGTCGGCAACCTTTTGAGACTGGAGAGCCAAAGGTTACAACTTACAAAATTTACCAATTTTTAAAAGGCCACTAACATTTTTATGTCAATACTTAGTATTTGATTAGTTTTAAGAATATATATATATATATATATATATATATATATATATATATATATATATATATATATATATATATGTATGTATATATATATATATATATATATATATATATATATATATATATATATATATATATATATATATATATATATATATGTATGTATATATATATATATATATTTATTTATTTATTTATTTATATATATATATATATATATATATATATATATATATATATATATATATATATTTATTTATTTATTTATTTATTTATTTATTTATTTATTTATTTATTTATTTATTTATTTATTTATTTATTTATTTATTTATTTATTTATTTATTTATTTATTTATTTATTTATTTATTTATTTATTTATTTATTTATTTATTTATTTATTTATTTATTTATTTATTTATTTATTTATTTATTTATTTATTTATATATATATAATTTATACATATATGTGTGTGTGGTGTGTGTGTGTGTGTCGGCCTACATAGGCCTATAATACCCTTCCTTTTTGCAATAATTGTTAATTTGTACTTAAAAGACCATTTAACTTTATTTAATCACTAATGAATCTGACAAATAAGGCATTTTTCTTCTGTACTTTTTGCAATTTTTCGCCTTGGTGTCACCCCCCCCCCCCCCCAAATGGTGTCACCCGGTGCTGTCCGCATCCCCCGCACCGCCCTCGCTACGCCTCTGCATGAACGTCATATTACTTGCGTTTGTTTCGAATCGCTCAAATCTCTCAGGAATCCATTCTTCATTTTGTGTATAGTAACGCTGAAGTGATTCATGTTAGTTAGTATCATTGGTTTCATCACGTTTCATCACGATGTTTTTTTTAAAGATTTTTCACAATTAGGTAATTTACCGCTTTCCGGGTCTTCAACAAAGACAAGTAATTTTTTTCGAAACAATCCACTTCTTCCAGCACTTCTTCTTTCCTTTCCTTGCAGTATTACATTTAGCTCGTTTAGTTTCGTATTGATATACACCAGGGGTCTCCAAACTTTTCGGTCCGAGGGCCGCATTAACTATCAAATTTCAGTTCGGGGGCCAGTTTCTTCCAGGCATGTCTTTGATTTTTCTTGGCTAAGATCCTCAGCCATCACCACCAAACGTTTTTTCCGTGAACAAAAAGATCTCCGCGGGCCGGATGAGAGGACCTCGCGGGCCGCATCCGGCCCGCGGGCCGTAGTTTGGAGACCCCTGATATACACCATGAAGTTAAATGTTTCAATTTGGGAAGGAAACTTTAATAGGAAGTACATTCAAATAGAATAGCGTGTGTTAATTTTTTTATATTTATTATCATATCGTTCATTGCCGAGTGTTGCAGAATAATAATTTTCGTGAGTTTTGAAGAAGTAAAAAATATTTAATAATATTTGAGCATGAAACTCGTGAGCCGCATCTTGAAATCAAAAGTGCAGAATGTTGACGACCCCTGGGTATGGACATTTAGATGGAATCTAATTAAATTAGAATCAGATTTCTAGAACAATACACAAATTAATAAGTGAACTATTTTAAATATAAAAATTTAGCATATAATACAGATAATGGTTTCCAATTTCAATTTGCTTTTAATATTAATTATATCATAAAGAAATACAGATATAGTTTAGCTACTGTGTAAATTAATATTATTAACAAATATAATTGCAATAATTTTTTTTTAAATTCTTCTTTTGAATTTTCTCTATACTTTAGCGATATTTGGAATTAAAATTACAACTTGTGTCCCTTGGCAATTCTGAATTTATAAAGGGGAAGTAGCTATAACAAGTTAATATTGTATTTAAAACAATTCTAATTTTTGTTCAACACAGCAATTGTATACATTCAATTACCAATTATGCTATAAATAATTGTGTTTATGTATTAATTTTGGAAACATTGCAAAACTCCTTTGTAATATCAATTTTGCGTAGTTGTTTTTCTTATTTTATTTTATTAAATAAATATTTAATTGGTTATACAATTACATTATTCTTTGTAATGAAATCATGTTGTCTTTATGGAGAGTGTATTTCAGGCATCTAAATAGATTTAGTCTGCCATCCCAGAAAATTTAAATCCCCCCCCCCCTGAGAAAAAAATCTGAAAGACAGACTTTCTTTGTTTTGTGGTTGAAGTTGGCCATTTGTCTAGACATACTTTATCTAGTGCATATATGTCTTTAGAAGTAGAAGTAAAAAATACATTTTAAATCAAGTAACATTCATATAACTGTTGTAAACACATTGTGCTTTATTTCATCCCTGTTGATACAATAAGATTAAAATAAAACATTTAGAAGTAAAAATAAATCAGTAAATAGGAATGTGTCAATTATGTAAAATTGTACATTGTATGTAAGTCTGTTTTCACAAGCTTTTATCACATTTCGAATTGATCACCATATTGTTAAAACATTTTATCGAATCAATATTTTAAGTTTTACGTTCAAACATAAGTAGGCCTAAAGTATAAGAAAATTATAAACATTTCAAATTATATAATACAGAATATTTTTAACAGATTAAAGTATTTTCAAGTATGATAAAATTTAAACAGTGTTTAAAATTGTGAACATACACAATGTACGTATATGAAAATACAATTTTTATAAAGGGTAAAATCTAAAATAAACGTTTTGTTTCAATGATCTATGTACATTTGATTTCTTTATTAGTTTTGTTTTTTTCATTTAGTAATAATTATCATAACAAAAGACTTTTTAAAGTGAAGTTTTTAAAACAGAATCTTAGGATTGCAATAGTTACGTGGATCAGTCCAGAATCAAGCGAACGCTTTTCCAATAATGTGAAACCAGCTGTAAATTTCCAATAACTTGGAGTCGCCAAGGAAAAGTTTGGTTTTATTGCTGATTCTCACAAGGGGTTATAGACATTACTATGACATTTGATAAAAGTACTGTGAGTTTATTTCAGATCGTTTATGACACATTGCTCGAATATTGTCCTACCCTGTGCATTGATAAATTTGTGCAAGGTCCTATCATGTATAATTCGGCCGTGTACAGTCCTGTTGTCGTAAGTCCTGCTGTGGTAATTCATGATGTGGTAAGTTCTGTGTGGTAAGTTCTGTGTGGTAAGTTCTGTGTGGTAAGTCCTGTGTGGTAAATTCTGTGTGGTAAGTTCTGATGTGGTAAGTCCTGTGTGGTAAGTTCTGTGTGGTAAGTTCTGTGTGGTTAGTTATGTGTGGTAAGTCCTACTGTCGTGTCCTGTGTGGTAAGTTCTGTTGTGGTAAGTCCTACTGTCGTGTCCTGTGTGGTAAGCCCCGTGTGGTAAATTCTGTATGGTAAGTTCTGTGTGGTAAGTTCTGTGTGGTAAGTTCTGTGTGGTAAGATCTGTGTGGTAAGATCTGTGTGTTAAATCCTGCTGTGGTAAGTCCTGCTGTCGTAAATTCTGTGTAGTAATTTCTGTGTGGTTAAGTCTTACTGTGGTAAGTCCTGTGTGGTTAAGTCTTACTGTGGTGAGTCCTGTGTGGTTAAGTCTTACTGTGGTGAGTCCTGTGTGGTTAAGTCTTACTGTGGTGAGTCCTGTGTGGTTAAGCCTTACTGTGGTGAGTCCTGTGTGGTTAAGTCTTACTGTGGTGAGTCCTGTGTGGTTAAGTCTTACTGTGGTAAGTCCTGTGTGGTTAAGTCTTACTGTGGTAAGTCCTGTGTGGTTAAGTCTTACTGTGGTAAGTCCTGTGTGGTTAAGTCTTACTGTGGTGAGTCCTGTGTGGTTAAGTCTTACTGTGGTGAGTCCTGTGTGGTTAAGTCTTACTGTGGTAAGTCATGTGTGGTTAAGTCTTACTGTGGTGAGTCCTGTGTGGTTAAGTCTTACTGTGGTGAGTCCTGTGTGGTTAAGTCTTACTGTGGTGAGTCCTGTGTGGTTAAGTCTTACTGTGGTAAGTCATGTGTGGTTAAGTCTTACTGTGGTGAGTCCTGTGTGGTTAAGTCTTACTGTGGTAGGTCATGTGTGGTTAAGTCTTACTGTGGTAAGTCCTGTGTGGTTAAGTCTTACTGTGGTAAGTCCTGTGTGGTTAAGTCTTACTGTGGTAAGTCCTGTGTGGTTAGTTCTGTGTGGTAAGTCCTGTGTGGTTAAGTCTTACTGTGGTGAGTCCTGCTCGGGTAAAAGTCCTGCTTTGTTTACACCCGATGCGTATTGTCCTGCTGTATATATCCTAAACACTGCCCTATACTGATTGTTGTCCTGCTTATCGTCCTACACTCTGTATTGTCCTACCCAATCTAAGGTCAACTACAGTTCATATAATGCCCTTATATGTGGATGTAACTTAAACATAAATTATGTACTAGCAATGGTAAACCAGCAACAATATTATCTAGTGGTTATAGTAAATAAATTAATGCCCTATATATATATATATATATATATATATATATATATATATATATATATATATATATATATATATTTATATATATATATATATATATATATATATATAAGTAAAAAAAACAAAATACACATGTATAATGATATGAGACGATTTAGTCAGCTAGATGAAACTTATTTCTAGAGAGACAACATAACGCTAGAGTACACAGGTACACGTTGGATTTGACTATAAAAACACAGTACATGTATTCGGGTATCCAGACACACGAGGTGACGTCGTGACGTTGTACTGTCCGCCATTACTTTCTGCTGACTCTATTAGCAAGCTATTTATAGAATTAGCGGTGCGCTTTTTCCACCTGTATATATATATATATATATATATATATATATATATATATATATATATATATATATATATATATATATATATATATATATATATATTTATTTATTTATATATATATATATATATATATATATATATATATATATTATATATATATATATATATATATATTTATTTATTTATTTATTTATTTATTTATTTATTTATTTATTTATTTATTTATTTATTTATTTATTTATTTATTTATTTATTTATTTATTTATTTATTTATTTATTTATTTATTTATTTATTTATTTATTTATTTATTTATTTATTTATTTATTTAGATATTTATTTATTTATATATATATATATATGGTAGTGCGCTTTTGTCCGCCTTTATTCCACACTGGCTCTATTAGCAAGCTATTTATTCCTATGTTGGTCCGATTTGTGTTTATCTAAGTCTTCCTTAGATATAAAAGCAATGTGACAATGGGGACATCTGAAGACGGGTGGGCGACTTGAAGGCGGGTCTACCTGTGTCTGTCTCGTAGGCGTCCGCTCCATTCTGCTGCATCTGGCTTCATGGCTTCTTAAGTCGTCTTCTCCTGGAAACTTTTGTTGACAATGGGGACACTTGACGGTAACCCCAGCCGTCATTTTGCGGTCTTCAAGGCTTTGGTGTTTTGGTAAGCCATGTCTATTTGTAGAGTTCAACTGCCGGTTAGGTTTAGCGGTACAACTTGTTTGGTGTTCAGTTAATTTCGCTGAAGAGCAGTAAGTTTTGGAACACCTTTGACATCGGTATAATTTAGGTCTGGCTCCGATGTTGTCTGGGCCTTCGCTCATCGCCCTTGGATCTTCATCTCGTGGTGTGTGAGGTGGCTGATCCAAACTTCGTGTCTGTCGATTGAAAAGTCGTCGCCTGTCGTGTTCTCTCTCGTCTGATTTAGATTGCCCTCGACATTTTTCCAGGTGTTTTTCGAAATTTTCCTTGAAAATCTTTGAGTTACACAATTTACATTTGACAATGGGAGCCGATTCATCTGAATTGACAGCTCGTTCTGCGGATTGACGGAATTGTTGTTCTGAATTGACAGTTCGTTCTGCGGATTGACGGAACTGTTGTTCTGAATTGACAGTTCGTTCTGCGGATTGACGGAACTGTTTTGTTGATGTTTGGCTGTTTTCTCCTGGTAATGTCTGTGGTATTGGTCTTGCTCCTGATTGTTGCAGTGATGTTTTTTCAACTTGATTAGTTAATGTGTCTACGTGGCAATTATCCAGTTCTTTTGACACATTCTTCGATCTCTCTTGGTACGAGTTAAGTTCCTTCTTCAACGTGTTCACACCTGTAGACTCTAATGTCGTTTGGTTGTAGCCTCTCGTCTGCGAGCTCTGGAATCCGAGTTCTCCACGGTCGTTCTGTCTGTGTTCAGGTACCTCGTGAGTAGCACGCGCGTTTAACCGACACACCTGGCTCTTTGAGTGGACCTGGAGTTGGATATCATCCCTACACACGTGACCACACGAGCACGTGTGTTTGTCACGTGGTGATGAAGTGTTCTCACGTTTATGACCTAGTTTTTCTTTTACGTCTGATGACGTTTGCAGCGGCAGTTGTCGTTCTTTTTCGACTGGATAATTCTCACTCTTCGATCTAGCAGGCTGCCACTCCTCAAAACGCGGCTCATGTCTTTCTATACTCGGCTCTTTGTTTACTTCATAACCCCGGTTTCCATGAGAACCAAATCCAAACGATTTGGGAATTGTTGGGGGCGGCGCCATCATGACCGGGGAATTAACAGCTGAGGCGAGTTGCGTGTTTTGTGGGTGCTCCAAGATGGCGGCTGCTGTTGTTGTTTTTGAACGAGTTCGGTGAGCGATAGGTTCGAAGGATAGGTTACTGTCGCGAGTTAAGTCGTTCATTCTTTTACTGTGAAACGTTTTAATGTTGTACTCTTCACTCCAATCTACAAGATCGAAAATATAATTAGTGAATTAATTGTGATATTATATTCTGTCTTACCATTGGCACAATATTATAGTATATATATATATATATATATATATATATATATATATATATATATATATATATATATATATATATATATATATTGTATTTAGGTATGTGTAAAAGTGTTGTTTTATGACATTCGAATTAATTTAAAACAGAAAGCATCGAAAGCTGAGAGTTGTTACTTTTCGTGAGAAAACTGTTATTTTGAGGGTGTATGGGGTGTTTGTTTTTCTTAAACTCCCCCAAACAGCACGCTCAGCCTACTCTATTGTATTATATTTTTTGTACAAATCTTATGTAATCAACTAATGAACTTACTAGACAGATTGCCAGTGAGGTTGTCATCTGAGCAGTCATTTGAAACATAGTCTAGGACATAGAAACAAGCCACATTTAAATGTAATGTTAATTAATAATTAATAGAAGTATTAACTGCAACGTTAACTAGTAATAAATAAACAAGACGTGTTGAAAGAAGCTGTACATAAGCAGTAAAAAGAAAAGAATAAAAGTTGGCAACTCAAATACTGCTAAAAGTGAATAGACCTAGCACTTCTTTTGCAACGGATTACGTTTACTAAAATTATATAATTGACTCGGGTTTTATTAAAATGTATATAAATAGTTGTGCATTAATATATTTATTCAGTCTTGTGTACAATGGCTAATACTGATATTCCCTAAGTCAACCAGGAATTATTAATGCATGAGAAAGCAATGGTATGGAATAGGCTGCAGGAACAAGCCATCTGCCTAAAAGAATACTTTATTTTTTTAAATGTATTAGCAGAAACCTTTCTTTTCCTAAACTAAAAAAATGTAAAACAATTATAAACTAAATTAACTTTTTTTTACTCTTACCCACCCATTGCAATTGATACCTTTTAACCACACATTGCACTTAATACATTATACTCACACATTGCGCTTAATACATTATACTCACACATTGCACTTAATACATTATACACATTGCACTTAATACAATTTACTCACATATTGCACTTAATACATTTTACTCACACATTGCGCTTAATACATTATACTCACACATTGCACTTAATACATTATACACATTGCACTTAATACAATTTACTCACATATTGCACTTAATACATTTTACTCACACATTGCGCTTAATACATTATACTCACACATTGCACTTAATACATTATACACATTGCACTTAATACAATTTACTCACATATTGCACTTAATACATTTTACTCACACATTGCGCTTAATACATTATACTCACACATTGCACTTAATACATTATACACATTCCACTTAATACAATTTACTCACACATTGCACTTAATACAATTTACTCACACATTGCACTTAATACATTTTACTCACACATTACACCTAATACATTTTACTCATCTATTGCAATTAACACCTTTTACTTATACATTTTACTCACCAATCTCATTAGTACACCATCCGTCCTGATCTTTTGCTTCCATTTCTGCAAACGAGAAATCAATCATGTGCAAACTACACAAATGGGGATAGGCCTTCGTGTCTTTGACCTAACGGTTTAAACTTACCGTGAGTGACCAAACGCTTAATTTAATCAAAATATCAAGCCCTAGCCCTAGCCCTATCCCTATCCCTATCCCTATCCCTATCCCTATCCCTGGCCCTGGCCCTGGCCCTGGAACTAGCCCTAGCCCTAGCCCTAGCCCTAGCCCTAGCCCTAGCCCTAGCCCTAGCCCTAGCCCTAGCCCTAGCCCTAGCCCTAGCCCTAGCCCTAGCCCTAGCCCAAGCCCTAGCCCTAGCCCTACCCCAACCCCAACCCCTAGCCGTAGCCGTAGCCCTAGCCCTAGCCCTAGCCCTAGCCCTAGCCCTAGCCCTAGCCCTAGCCCTAGCCCTAGCCCTAGCCCTAGCCCTAGCCCTAGCCCTAGCCCTAGCCCTAGCCCTAGCCCTAGCCCTAGCCCTAGCCCTAGCCCTAGCCCTAGCCCTAGCCCTAGCCCTAGCCCTAGCCCTAGCCCTAGCCCTAGCCCTAGCCCTAGCCCTAGCCCTAGCCCTAGCCCTAGCCCTAGCCCTAGCCCTAGCTCTAGCCCTAGCCCTAGCCCTTGCTTACAAAGTTAGACTTTCTAGACTCTATAGTTTAGCATAGAACTAAAACTATTGAAAAAAACTCACTCTGATAAATTGTTTTGTCGATCTCCTTGACACACTCCTTGCGGTCCATCTGCCACAAAACGTCAAGAAACCTTTTAAGACCATCTTTAGATTTTTGGACGGCATTCAGCAACATCGCGTTACCGCGACTTGGCCCGTCAATTGTTCGGTGTGCCCTGATCTTTGGAATATAAAGTAACTAATCGTGTAGTTCAACCGCAGAAATGACATGCTGCAAATACTTCAGGCTAAAAATATGCAAGCTAGGAGTATGTCTCGTCTCAGATATATTGCATGGTACAAGCATATCATGCGGGCAATGCTAAAAAAATACGATTCTACTGAAACAATTTATGTCATACTCTTCATCTTCGTTCCTAATTTTACTATTGGTAGGGATCTCCTCAGACACAATTAAATATAATTTTCAACTGGTTATGCGCCATTGAGGCCATCGACTCCGATTTCAGCCTACTTTTCTTTTTGGATTTGCTTCCATAGCCTTTGTCCAACCAAGAACAAACTACAAGGCAGCAGTTGTTTGATTTTGGAGTTGTCTCGCCTAGAAGAGTAGCCGTCCCCAGCTAACGAGCCTCATCTGCCCGAGGGTTTTTGGTTTAGCAAACAGGAACTTTAGGGGGCGGAGTGGTCTAGCTGTAGAGAGCTGGACTGCTAACCCCTAAGTCTCAAGTCCAAATCTGGGTTCAAGTCCCTGAGTCCACCCAACCCTGATGTGTACCTAACTCTTGTTAGGGAAAGTAAAGACGGCTGGGCATAGTGCCGACCACACTATCACCTCATATTCCGAGGTCACAGAAACAAGTGAACTCTACTTTACTTGCCCTATACACGTCAGGTTTGAAAAGGGAACTTTAATTTTTAACCATGAGCTTTACCGTCTTGTCAACGCCCTACCCTTCTGTCATAAACCTGTTTCGATCGTACCTCACGGGTACGGTGAGTTAGTCTCAGGGGTTCGACGCAGGTCAAGACCCACACCTGACTCATACGATTCACGATCAGGTTTGTCGGTGCGAGCAAATTAGAAGGGTTCGGTGAATGCGCATATGAAACTTGTGGTGTTGGGTACCTCCAAACAGGTACAGAACCACTGTATTAAAGGCTAGTGTCGTAAATACCAGGGTGTGTTTAGACGCAGTGGCGTAGCCAGGATCGTCTCAAGGGGGAGGGGGGGGGGGGCGGGGGGGGGGTACCCGGGGACAAGCTTTCTATTTGCACCCCCCCCCTTCAGACTTTTGATTTGCACCCCCCCCCCTTCTCAAACATTCGATGTGCGCCCCCCCCCCCTCATACTTTATATATATACCGAGGGGTCTATGGGGGGGTTATGCCCCAAACCCCCCCCCCATCCTACGCCACTGTTTAGACGTACACGCAATGTTCTATTTTAATAATTCCTACCCTGTTGGCATCGGACTCAAAGATCAGCTCCTTCTCCAGACACAAACTCAACCAGACGTCATCGGATTCCATGTTCTCCAAAAACGTTTTTTTATGACAATCGAAGTGCGCTGCTTCATTGATAAGGTTACAAGCGTCAAAGTTTTTGGTGTAGAGAATCTCTCGAACTATTGCATGCTCTACCAAGAAAAAACGAATACAGTTGATAAACATTTTATTTAATTATACATTTACAACACTAATCAATACAGGAAGTCTAATTGATTTGTAAGATAAAATATAATTTTTACGTAGTTACATAAGAGATCTACACAAAGTGTAATTGGGGGTGGAAGGTGCAGCTATCGAGATATATTCGCTGTGCTATGATTAAGTTTATTTGAGGAAATATTCAAATTCCTATTTCAGTGATTGGAATTTATTGTTTTCTTCTTCTTCGTTCTTAATTTTAAGTGTTGGAAGGGAATGAGCCTTATCGAGACTTTTTTTCGAATGTATCAACCATGAGCTTTTGCCGACTCGACCACGCTTCCATCACAATTAAGTATACGTGTCAACTGGTTATGCGCCATTGAGGCCATTGACTCCGATTTCAGCCTGCTTTTCTTTTTGGATTTGCTTCCATTGCCTTTGTGTAACCAAGAACAAAGTACAATTGTTTTAAAATACTAGAATTCCTAGACTTACATTGCGGAAAGCAACGATTACTAGCCACATAATCCCTTTATATTCCATGGTCAGAGTAACAAAAAAAAACTCTACTTCCTCTGCTTCATGCACCAACTGGTCTTGAATGGTACTTAAATTTTTTTAAACATATCATTTGTTTTATAAGTTTAGAACCTTTTGTTTAAAAACAGTAAAACCGAAATGTTACAAGATAAAAAATTCCATATGTGAAAGAAAAATTGAGCGACACCTACCTGGGTCATCAAGGGCGTCTCTGAGAACGCTGTACTTGGTTGGGTCCTGAGACTCTAGGAAGGCATCCAAAAACATGCGCGCTGCGCGATCTTCTTCAATGGTCTCTCTGGCTTCAATTTCCCGCAGAATTTGGTCTGAAGGTAAATTTTTATCGATTGATTATCCAACTAAATGATAAGGACATGAAAGAGATTCATAATATGTGTAGCTAAGACCAGTGGCGTAGCGAGGTCGGGTGTCACCCGGTGCGGTAATTAATGGTGTCACCCCAAGAGGCGTAGCGACCCTTTCCGGGGACAAACTTTCAATTTTCTATTTGCATCCCCCCCCCTTCAAACTTTCGATTTGCACCCCCTAACTATCGATTTGCACCCCCCCCCCCCTACCCTCAAACTCTCGATATGCAACTCTTAAAACACTATTTAACATTCGAATTAATCACCTAATTTAGTGGAATTATCATTTTTCTCTATATATTTTGCTATTTTTGGCCTTGGTGTCACCCCCCTAAATGGTGTCACCCGGTGCGGTACGCACCCCTCACCCCCCCCCGCCCCCACCCCCCCCCCTCCCCCCTTGCTACGCCTCTGGCTAAGACGCATCCGACTGGGCATAGTGCAGGCAACATAATCCCTTCATATGCTGAGGTCAAGAAACGTATGAATTCTGCTTCATCTGCTCAATGGATAGTTAAGCCTAAGAGGAATTTAGAACAAAACCGTGGATAAAATGATAAATCTAAAAACATTGTTTAAAAATCTGGCATTGGAGAAGCTTCTAATTATTTCTAGGGTTGGAAGGGATTCCCTCCAACACAATTAAGTATTACGTGTCAACTTGTTTAGCGCCATACAGGTCATTGCCTGCAATTTCAACCTGCTATACTTTTATGGAGAAGAGACATATGCTTCTAAATCTGGCAGAAAAGGGTGTGGGTGTGGGTGTGGGTGTGGGTGTGAGTGTGGGTGTGGGTATGGGTGTGGGTGCGGGTGCGGGTGTGGGTGTGGGTGTGGGTGTGGGTGTAGGTGTGAGTGTGAGTGTGGGTGTGGGTGTGGGTGTGGGTGTGGGTGTAGGTGTGAGTGTGAGTGTGGGTGTGGGTGTGGGTGTGGGTGTGGGTGTGAGTGTGGGTGTGGGTGTGGGTGTGGGTGTGGGTGTGGGTGTAGGTGTGAGTGTGAGTGTGGGTGTGGGTGTAGGTGTGAGTGTGAGTGTGAGTGTGGGTGTGGGTGTGGGTGTGGGTGTGGGTGTGAGTGTGAGTGTGGGTGTGGGTGTAGGTGTGGGTAACTCACGCGGGATGATGTTCTTGAAGGTATGCTCGCCATTGATGAGGTCAAACACCCGAAGTTTTTTCACCAGGTGCTCCTTGTGTTCTCGAATGTTCTGCTGCACCACGTGGTCCTCGTCGTATGCCTCGTCATCTGATGCGTGACCGGCATACGCCATCACGCCTGAATGAGCAGAAGTTATGTGAGACTTTTTTGGTGGGTCTAGAACAGGGGCCTCCAAACTACGGCCCGCGGGCCGGATGCGGCCCGCGAGGTCCTCTCATCCGGCCCGCGGAGATCATTTTGTCCACGGAAAAAAACATTTGTTGGTGATGGCTGAGGAACTTTGCTCAGAAAAATCACGACATGTCAGGAATAAACTGGCCCCTGAACTGAAATATGATAGCGGCCATCGGACTGAAAAGTTTGGAGACCCCTGGTCTAGAATATTACCCCCCCCCCGGTCATTACCCCGCCTTAGACATTATCCCAACCCACCCTCACATCTTTTACCTCCGGTCAATTTCCCTTCATGGTATTTGCCTCCTGGTCAAGAACATTACATGTGTGATGTACCTTAGCCCTAGCCCTAGCCCTAGCCAGGGCCCTAGCCCTAGCCCTAGCCCTAGCCCTAGCCCTAGCCCTAGCCCTAGCCCTAGCCCTAGCCCTAGCCCTAGCCCTAGCCCTAGCCCTAGCCCTAGCCCTAGCCCTAGCCCTAGCACTAGCCCTAGCCCTAGCCCTAGCCCTAGGCCAAGCCTCAGTCCTAGCCCTAGCCCTAGCCTTAACATGACCTAAGTATTAGGTATTTTATGATTAGTTTATAGTGACACTTTATAATCCACACGGGAGTATTGCCCGAAAGTCCCACGTTAGAAACAGGCTTGAGTTAGTTGTAGGTCTTTGGGTGCCACCAGCTATACTAGACAAGTAAAATGCTTTTAGACCGTTGTTGGATATTTTGGTCAGCGGAAATAGGCGGTCGTGTTGATCAGTTAGACGAACTAAATCATTACACGTAAATTGTTTTGTTACACATTGATTAATATTAACAGTATTATATTATGTCCTAATGTATATATATACATATATATATATATATATATATATATATATATATATATATATATATATATATATATATATATATATATATATATATATGTAGTGTCGTATCGGCAGTTTAACTTTTTAATATAGTTTTAAGCTATTGGAAAGAGTTAAATTAGAGTCATGCTTTAGGTATTGTTATGATAGACTTCGATGGTTTGTCCAATCGATGACTAGCCAGCTTTATTACGAAAACAACATAGATCGATATCTAAGTATACAGTGGAATGGCGGTTCGACTTAAGTTTAAAGGGACAACGCATATGTATAAACTAATTTGTTGTGTAAAAAAATATCTATAATGTAGTATATAATCTATATAATATCTAATACTATACGTTCTGGGTGATTATTATGAATTAAGTAAACGGTTAGGGTTACGATCAAGTTAATATATTTTCATTCATCACAATTATCTTTATAAAAATATCTTTTGTCACAACTTTTTACCCCCCCCCCCCCCCCCCCCGCACACACACTAACACACACACACAATCGCCTTATCTCTGTTAACTACACCCTAACCTTATAACTGGGGCCTAAACTACGAGATAAGAACAAAATAGTTCTCATAGGCAAAACATAGAAATCAATAAATCATTGAGTCATCGATCACACAGATACGAAATCGAACTCAAATATTAACCTGTACCGTATCACAGAAAACACACCTCCTTTTTTTTCAATCACACCCGAAACCAGAGTTGTAAAACAAGAAATTAACACGTCCGTTCTTTAAACCTGGTTGAAATATACACCGCACGATTTATCCATGCCCGGACTTTCAAAACTGAAAGTGAAAATCCCACAACAAAATGTTGAATTCTTGGAAAAGCAGAATCGTTTTGCTAAAGGTTAAAGGGACAGCACTCCCGTTTTAAACACAAGTGCAAGTGTGTCATGTCTAAGCTGTTTACTAGTGTGTTGACACGGTATGATTCAGAGACCACTTTAGCTGACCCGGACACAGTTTGATATTGAAAATACACCACCACAACCTGACCTAGTTTGTTTTTAAAGAGATATCTATTAAGGATGGTATAAAGTGTAAGAACCGGGTTGAGGAGGGAGAGGGTATGAATGTTGGAATACCCGTGACCCTGTATTATTTTTAGCGGATCCGTTTGTAGAGTTAAGCTATTGATTGGTCGCTGCATCAAAACGAGGCTCACAGCTGGTTGATGGAATGGAAAAGTGTTCTACTAGTTGTATTGTAAGGGAATGGGGGGGGGGACTAGAAACTTGAAACTATGTTATCTCGTGTTCAACTCTTATGACGCAGCTGTTTTAAAAGTGCTGTTTATGTGGTTTACTGTTGTTTTCATGAATTCGTGTTGTTCATTTGTTGTTTATAACAAGTATACTTGAATAAAAGGTCCTCGTGTATAGTAGGTAGCAGTGTATAGCCGGTAGCAGTGTATAGTAGGTAGCAGTGTATAGCCGGTAGCAGTGTATAGTAGGTAGCAGTGTATAGTAGGTAGCAGTGTATAGCAGGTAGCAGTGTATAGCAGGTAGCAGTGTATAGCAGGTAGTCGTGTATAGTAGGTAGCAGTGTATAGCCGGTAGCAGTGTATAGTAGGTAGCAGTGTATAGCCGGTAGCAGTGTATAGTAGGTAGCAGTGTATAGTAGGTAGCAGTGTATAGCAGGTAGCAGTGTATAGCAGGTAGCAGTGTATAGCAGGTAGTCGTGTATAGTAGGTAGCAGTGTATAGCCGGTAGCAGTGTATAGTAGGTAGCAGTGTATAGCCGGTAGCAGTGTATAGTAGGTAGCAGTGTATAGTAGGTAGCAGTGTATAGCAGGTAGCAGTGTATAGCAGGTAGCAGTGTATAGCAGGTAGTCGTGTATAGTAGGTAGCAGTGTATAGCAGGTAGCTGTGTATAGCCGGTAGCAGTGTATAGTAGGTAGCAGTGTATAGTAGGTAGCAGTGTATAGCAGGTAGCAGTGTATAGTAGGTAGCAGTGTATAGCAGGTAGCAGTGTATAGCCGGTAGCAGTGTATAGTAGGTAGCAGTGTATAGTAGGTAGCAGTGTATAGCAGGTAGCAGTGTATAGTAGGTAGCCGTGTATAGCAGGTAGCCGTCTAGTCAATAACCTGTAACCGTCTACACCAGATGGCCGTGTATAACATGTATGAGTATATAACACGTAATAACATCTAGCCGTGTATAACACATAACCGTGTACTGCTTGAAGTTTTTGTAACTGATAGAAAAATTGTCTCTGCAAACATCTGATCACTTGTTCAGTAACCACAACTTGATTCCTAAATCAAACAACGTTTTAGCGTGGCATTACCAGGGGGCAGTGGCGTAGCGAGGTCAGGTGTCAACCGGTGCGGCACTTAATAGTGTCACCTCCCAGAGGCGTAGCGGCCCTTCCCGGGGACAAACTTTCAACTTTCGATTTGCACCCCCCCCCCCCTCCCCCCTTCAAATTTTCGATTTGCACCTCTTAAAACACTATTTAACACTCGAATTAGTCACTTAATTAAGTGGAATTATCATTTTTCTCTATATATTTTGCTATTTTTTTGCCTTGGTGTCACCCCCCCCCTAAATGGTGTCACCCGTTGTGGTCCGCACCCCCGCCCCTCCCCCCCCCCCCCCCATCCTCGCTACGCCTCTGCCAGGGGGTGTTCTGTCACTCATAAGGGAAGGGGTGGGGTGGGGCAATAATGATGGCATAACATGGCCTGACGTAGAAAAGATTTGATGATTATTCTTTTGCTGCATCGGTTTTATCAACACCTCGACTGTTAACATTACATTACACATTACACATTACATTTGGCTTTACCGTACCCAAACACCAAAAACTCGAATATCCAACCAATGGTCTTTTATCTTTTTAATGGAGACTGTCGAGTGTTTGGTGTTGGGTAGTTCACTCTGTTTTTGTATATTTTAATGAATAGATGACATTTTTATTATTTACTCTTCCTTATGTGGTTCCCTTTCAAGTTCCTTGGTAATGTGGTAATGAGAAAATTAAGACACTTGACATGATAGTCATTTAATGGACTCACACACACACACACACACACACAAACATAGCGTAGCGAGGGTGGGGCGGGGGGTGCGCACCGCACCGGATGACACCATTTAGGGGGGGGGGGTGACACCAAGGCAAAAAATAGCAAAATATATAGAGAAAAACTTGAGGGGGGGATGCAAATCGAAAGTTTGAGGGGGGATGCAAATCGAAAGTTTGAGGGGGGGGGGGGGGGGGGGGGGGTTCAAATCGAAAATTTGAAAGTTTGTCCCCGGGAAGGGTCGCTACGCCTCTGGGAGGTGACACCATTCAGTGCCGCACCGGGTGAGACCCGACCTCGCTACGCCACTGTTTGTACCCACCTGCCGATATGAAGGCTTTATCCCGCAGGTTCTTATGTATAGTTGTATAGCTCAAGAAGTTTTAAAATATGAATATATGCTACCATTTATTTTGATAAGGACGTAAGGTTAAATGCTGTAAGTTTTATTAATGTTTTTGAATGGGTATTTTTTTTTTAAAAAAATCTAATAAACTAGGGGAAGTAACCGTATTATTCTACTCATCTTAAATTTAAATGCAGTAGTTTCCCTTGTATTAACTTTCTTCTGCGTATAAATCATAACTTAATAGCTAAATTTATATATTTCGTAATTCATAATCCTTAAATTACCTGACTTACCCAACCTTTCCTGACCCTAACCCTGATCCTGTTAGTGTTACCAGCTTAAATATTATTGTCCCTCCTGTAGTCGTTTGTTAATAAATCATCATCATAATCATCATCATAATCATTATCTTCATCATCATCATCATCATCATCATCATAATCATTATCTTCATCATAATCATTATCTTCATCATCATCATCATCATCATCATCATAATCATTATCTTCATCATAATCATTATCTTCATCATCATCATCATCATCATCATAATCATTATCTTCATCATCATCATCATCATCATCATAATCATTATCTTCATCATCATCATCATCATCATCATAATCATCATCAGAGTTTCTTCCAGGCATCTCTTCGGGGGGGGGGGGGGCAAAGCTTTCCCGAAAAAATTCTACCCCCCCCCCTCCCTCCCCCCAAACGAAATGAAATTTATATAATTTATATTGAAAATATATACTTTTAACAGTGCCCCCCCCCCCGAAGAAAGTCTACCTCCTCCTATAAGAAACACTGAACATCATATCATCATTTTCCCTGATCCCTTTACCGGGGTCGTTTGGGCATCACTGTTGACTTCATATTTATTCGTCATTCATCTCTGTCCTCTGCCTCTTTGATTAGTTCTCAGACGGCCATCCCCGTCCAATCCTTGACGTCATCCATCCAGTTACGTCTTTCTCTTCCCCTTCTTCTCCCTGCTGGCACAGTGTCTTGCCATATTGTTGTGGATAGTGATGGACTGTTTGATCTTGTGACATGCCCATACCAACTCAATTTTTTGGCTATGCTCGGTAGACCTTTCCTGGACTACATCACGCATCCTCATCACGTGACTGGCTCTGGCTCTGATTGGTCATGGCTTGACCTCGTTCTAATTGGCTCGTGTAGGTTATTTGACCAATGGTTTGCTACACCTCGGATCTAGTTATTTTACAGGTAACAGTGCCTCGTCACACCCGGCTCCAAAGTGTATTGGCACGGTGCACCTATAAGCACACGGTGCATCTTTAAGCTGACGGTGCACATATAAGCACACATTGCACCTATAAGCACGGTGCATATATAAGTTCATGGTGCACCTATAAGCTCACGGTGCACCTATAAGCTTACGGTGCACTTATAAGCTCAGCTCACGGTTCAACCATAAGTTTACGGTGCACCTATAAGCCCACGGTGCACTAATAAGTTCTCGGTGCACCAATAAACTCACGGTGCACCTATAAGCCCACGGTGCACTAATAAGTTATCGGTGCACCCATAAACTCACGGTGCATCTATAAGCTCATTGTGCACCTATAAGCTCTCGGTGCACCTATAAGCTCACATTACACCTATAAGCCCACGGTGCACCTATAAGCTCTCGGTGCACCTATAAGCTCACATTGCACCTATAAGCCCACGGTGCACCTATAAGTTCATGTTGCAGCTATAAGCTCACGGTGCACCTATACGCTCACGGTGCACCAATAAGCTCTCGGTGTACCTATAAGCTTACGGTGCACCTAAAAGCCCACGGTGCACCTGTATGCTCACGGTGCACCTATAAGCCCACGGTGCACTAATAAGTTCTCGGTGCACCCATAAACTCACGGTGCATCTATAAGCTCACGGTGCACCTATAAGCTCACGGTGCACCTATAAGCTCACATTGCACCTATAAGCCCACGGTGCACCTATAAGCTCTCGGTGCACCTATAAGCTCACATTGCACCTATAAGCCCAACGTACACCTATAAGTTCATGGTGCAGCTATAAGCTTACGGTGCACCTATACGCTCACGGTGCACCTATAAGCTCTCGGTGCATCTATAAGCTCACGGTGCACCTTTAAGCTCACGGTGACACTACTACTCTAGTTGTCATATACCGAGGGACCGGAAAGTTCCGGTGGTGCCAGGAATTTCCTTCTTGTCACATGACTTTACATCGCGCTTGTTTGTTTCAGCCATTTCAAATATCTTCACCTTTTAAGCACTCTACACTCTACAGACCTTAACGCTACAACCGCTCGTGTGACTGAACATTATAACGCTCAAGTGACTGACCACTACTAACCGCTCTAGAGACTTAACCCTATAACCACTCTAGTGCCCTTGACTCTATGACCGCACTACGGACCAGCCTTCATTTAGTATAGAACAGCTGTTGCGGCTTTTAGTGTATTATTCTATATTTTGAGTAAACATATTTAAAGAATGCGTTTATTTAGAGGTAA